AGGGTCCAGGCAGGAACATGTGGCCCTGAGGTGTGGCGGGCCCAGGCCACAGCCTGGCCTTGGCAGATCGGGGGTGCCACGGCCGCAGTGGTACCTGGTCCTTTACAAGCCTGTGGAACCCAGGGTGACAGCTTTGGGAGCACAGGGCCCGGAAGGGGGGCATCTGTGGCAGAGACCTCAGTGCTTTCACGGTGGGGGTGGCACTGGGCCCTCGCGGCTCCCTGGGTTGTGGCCATCACCGGCGCCGAGGCCTAGAAAGGAAGCTGCAGACCCTTCCCAGGGAGAGGCTGCTTTGTGAACACGGGGAACCCGACCTCCCTCGGGCCAGGTGTGGGCTGGTTTCAGGGGCGGAGTCTGTGTTTGCAGGTAGGGCCAGTGAGAGAGGAACATTGCCGATGACATGGCCCCACTGCGCTCTGGTATCACAGGTTTCCCCAGAGATAGGCAGAGCCCAGGCGGGGGTTCTGGCGCGCAGAAGGTGAGGCAGGAGGCGAGTGGTCGCAGCCTGACCCTGGGGGGCCCTGGGGTGGGACTGGCACGTGGAGTTGGCTGCTCGTTTGTTTGGTCACTAGCTAGGGGCACGCTGGGGGGAAGGCATCAAGGGCAAGGACCGGACAAAGTGGGCGGCTGTGCACAGTGGAGCCGGGGATGGGCACTGGCAATGAAGGGGTCTGGGTGGGGGGGCGAAGTTTACTCCACGGCCCCCAAGTCAGCGCTCTCGGACTTTCCACCGACCCCTCGCTCCGTTCCCATTTTCTGGGGCCACCGGACGCACCCACTTGGCAATCCCCTGCCCTCTGTAGGCAGGGCGTTCGGACGCAGCGTGGGCCTCTCTGAGCATCCCTGGCAGCGGAGAGGCCAGCCTTGGCGCCTGGACGTTTCCAAAGGACTCTGAGCTCCTGGCGAGGCGCTGAGGGGCCAGGCTCTGCCTCCGGGGCAGGAACCCAGAGCCCGCATCGCATCGTGTTGCTTCGGGCTGTTTCCTCCAATGCAGAAGCAGGAGTGGAGTACAGTGGGGCCTTGACTTACGAGTGTCCCAACTAATGAGTTTTTTGAGATACCAGCTGTCTCTTGGCCAATTTTTTGCATTGAGTTGATAGAGTAATTTGAGTTAACGAGCTCCTTAACGAGCTTGGTCTCGGAACGAATTAAACTCGTAAGTCAAGGCCCCACTGTATTAAACTGTCTAAGGCGTCACCGCGTTCCTGACAAGCTCCTCAGAGGAAGGGAATTGTAACCCCATGAAATATTTATGCTTCATGTTGCAAAGATGTTACCGCCATGACAGCGTGTTGCTTTGTCTGTTGGTTAGGTTTTCTTTTTTAATTTTAGAGGCAGAGAGAGAGAAACACAAATTTATTACCCACTTATTTATGCATTCACTGGTTGATTCTCTCTTGTTGTTGTAAATCCTCACCAGAGGATATTTTTCCATTGATTATTTTAGAGAGAGTGGAAGGGAGGGGGAGAGGCAGAGAGAGAAACATCGACGTGAGACACACACACCCATTAGTTGCCTCCCACATGTGGCCCAACCAGGGCTGGGGATTGAGCCTGCGACCAAGGTACGTGCCCTTGACTGGAATTGAGCCCGGGACCCTTCAGTCCGCAGGCCGATGTTCTATCCACTGAGCCAAACCGGCTAGGGCCATGGGTTGATTCTGGTATGTGGCCTGACCAGGGATGGAACCCTAAACCTTGGCGTATCTGGACAACGTTCTAACCAACTGAACTACTCCATCAGGGCTCGTTTTTCTTTTTCCAACGTGGATTGCAAAATGCCCTCCAGCAAGGAAAAGGCTCACAGAGAAACTGCACCCCATTTGGGGCTGAAGGGGGGGTCACATGATTGGAGGATGAGAGGCCCCGAGAGCTGCCAGAGAAGAGGGGGGCTCCTCTGTCTAGGTCACCTCAAAATAGCTGTGTTGGGCCCAATACCCTCAGCCTCCTAACAGCCCCTCCATTCCAGGCATTGCTGATTGTTCTAGGTTCAGCTAAAGTGAGAATTATTACTCTTTTAAAGTAGCACTACCTGTGTGGCCCACACCCATTTTCATCATCACAGAACCCTATGTGTTCCCACCCTTATTATCCTCCTTCACTGATGGCAAAACTGAGGCCAGAGAGGCCCCGTCACCAACAGACACCCTCGGGGGCGGGCGAACGGGCAGGTGAGACTTTACCCGAACCCGACTGGCATCAGGGGCTCTGTCCTGGCAAAGCCACCGCCGAATGCCACACTTTGGGAGGCCTGGCCCTGGCTCACGAAGCGCAAGAAGAGACAGACCCGCTTTCAACGTTTCAGAAGTTTTATTATAAAGGAATCTGAGAGAAGCACTGGGCACGGAGCCAGGCGGTCGCCAGGGCCAGGAAACAGCTGCGAACACGAGGAACCCCAACCCCAACCAAGCCCCAAACCGCACACACTTTCTGGTCAACTGCATTTCTGTCCTCAGGTCTTCTTCATAAATAGACAACAGTCGTCGTTGGCAATTTTAAATAGACGGGCGTGTGGTTAAAAGAAAAAGCGCAAAGCCTCCGAGTGTGGCGGGAACAGACGATGGAACGGTTTGGCGGCCGCTCTGTGCACGTCTCCCTTAAGATAAAACTTAAAAAACATGTGCTAAGGGTCATAGAAAACGCTTTTGACCTTAAAGGAAACTACTTTCCTCCCCCACCCCGCCCCAAAAATAATCTCACAGATGTGTTCAGCACAGCTCTAAAACACGTAGTCAACTACTCACACAAAGCCAACAGTGTACGGGTTCATAATCTCTTGTTCAGGCTGTCACACCACATGTGCGCGTCTGTGGCCGGGCCGGCCCCTGCCCCGGGCATCTGGGTGGGTGTCTGTTGGCAAGCGACCCCGGCAGGGGCAGCCCACGTGAGCTGGGCCGGGCCCAGACATCCAGACATAGGGTACGGTGTGCAGGACGAGGAGTGGGGTCCACAGTGGCCCTGGAGCAAGCGGTCAGGGGGCAGGAGGTGCCTGCAGGTTCTTTGGGCTGGCGGCGGGCGTTGGGCGGCCTCTGCAGAGTCTGGTAAGAGGTCGAGGAAGAGACTCAGCCGTGGGGCATTAGCGTGTCACTGTTCTCTCTTCGGGTCCCCTGCTTCCTGCCAAGGCCTCTTTCCTGCTGTGGCCCCTCCAGCAGCCTCAGGGAGGAGAGGGAGGTGGGGTTAGGTGAGGTAGAGAGATTTATCCCTGGGGAGCAGGCTGTGGGAGAGAGGAGGGGCTGTCAGAGCTCACGTGACCCCACCTGGCGCCACGGGCTCTCGGGGGCCTGGACACCGGGCCAGCTGCTCACCTGCCCTGCACCCCGACCCTGGATGCAGCCCTCCTGCGATCCCAGCAGCCCCCCCGCCCCCGTCAGTGCTGGGGAGGTGGAGGCAGTGTGTCTGTCCTTCTAACACCACCATCACTCTAGGTTAAGTCCGTGTTTCTTTTGTAAATTTCAAACAGAATTAAAGGCGAGCAGGTGCTTTCTGTGTTTTTGAAGTCGGGCCCTCATGCCCTGATCGGGCAGCTCAGTTGGTTAGAGCGCCGTGCAGTGACACCAGGGGTGCGGGGTCGATCCCCGGTCAGGGCACAGACAGGAATCAACCAATAAATTAATAAATAAGTGAAATAACAAATCAATGTCTCTCTCTTTTTGTCTCTCTCTCCCTTCCTCTCTTTCTTAAATAAAAAAAAATTTAAATTTTTTAAAAATATGTTAAAATAGGGCACTCATTTATGACAACATAGATGACCCTTGAAGGCATTATCCTCAGTAAAAGAAGTCAGACGAGGAAAGACAAGTGTCATAGGATCTCACTTATATGTGGAATCTAAAAATAACCCCCCCCCCCAAAACAAAACAAAACAAGCTCATAGATACGCAGAGCAGACCGGTGCTTGCAGAGGCTGGGGGGGTGGGCAAATGGCGGAGGGAGTCAAAAGGCGCAAACTTCCAGTTATAAGGTGCTGGGGTGTAACGCACGGCACAGGGACTACAGCTAACAACACCGTGCTGCATGTTTGAAAGCCGCTAAGAGAGTAGATCTTAGTTCTCCAGATGAATTTTTGGAGAGTTCGTTCTAGATCTTTGAAGAAGGCCATTGGTATTTTAATGGGAAGTGCGTTGAATTTATAGATTGCTTTGGGTAGTATGGACATTTTAATGATGTTGATTCTACCAATCCAAGAACAT